CGTTTAAATTCCCTCCACCGTCGCCCGCGAGAAACTTCCCGCGAACGGGAATCCACTCCTAACGGAGATTCGACGTTTCGTAGATTTTCGATCCTGCTTCTCTTTTCAATCAATCAGATATGAAATAAAACAAAAATGTTCTTTTTAGCCAAAATGTCCTAGCAATTCAATGGTACGTTTATGTTTAAGGTTGCACTATGTCGTACTTTGCCGAAGTTCTTAGGACTCCGCGATAAGAATATTTCGTATAGTGTATTGTACACTTGATTAGGAACTGTATTCCCTATCAAGTCTGCGAAATTGTCAATTCTGGCGTTGGTTAGGCACATGGATACACGTACAAAGGATATATTTTCTGTGTTAAATCAATTAAAACGGTAAATTTCACGAAGTGGTATCGCTCGCAGCTGCGCAAACATGCTTGATGCGTATGCAACAAGACAACAAACAGAAGTTGCAGGAACAAAAATTTGTTCCTATTCATTATCAAAGAGAATCTAACCGTGCCACTGACGAACACAAACTAAAGACCTAGGCATAAAAAATCTATCCCCAGACTGATGAACTTTGAAAAACTGAATTCCTAACGTCTAGGCGCACGACGAGGTGTCACCTGTTGAATTCGAGCGCCTTGCGAAACACAGTTATAGGCTTCCCCTGAAAACTGCACATTTTCGCAGAAGTAGATAGCATCGAAGTAATAATCAATGGTTTATGACAATACTAGTATTAAAACTATGAAAGAATTTGTACTTCCAAAAAAATATGTAAACTTATTACTGTTATAAGTTACGAATTTGGGGAATTTCTGTTGAACAATAAATAGCAATTTAATAGCCGCATTTCTAGAAATCTACAAATTAAATGTACAAGTGTACCTACTTGAAAATGATACATCGTAAATTAAGGAACCTTTGATGCATTTTTAAAATTGTTTAACCACATGAGATACAATGACGCCTGGGAGACATCTTCGTTCCACGTGCCATTATAGACTTTGACGTCTCGGAGACGTCAAGAACTTAACTAGTATTGCTTAGTAATAGAATTTAAATAGTATTTTTCGGACGCATCAAATTCTGTTTTATTTGTATGTCAAGGGGTTAAAATAGCACAACTTCTTCCGTGAATATGAATACAATTCTTCACATCTCCAACTATACATAGATCCTCATCAGGTACTCCTGAGGTACGTACAGATCAACGTTTAGCAACAAGTGAAGACCGATCGTTGAACGAAAATGAAGCGAGCCGCAACCGCGGGTATTTAAATTAAATCTACACCATATTTGACGATTCGTATCGTTGTTAATTGGAATTATCAGGTAATGGATTATTGGCAGACTGGTTCGTGGGAGTAACAGGGGCAAATATGATTAAATGCGACGAAACTTATGGAGGGATATTCGTTTAACGGGCGCGCTTCAATTTAGCGAATATTGCCCATCCGCTGCATACGCGAAAGCCCCGTACGTTTTCTTCAAATTAAGAGCGCGTCCGGTAAATGGGTTTATCGAGTACATTATTCTAATGGAGTTTGCATCGGCAAATGCGAAATTAACTTGTGCGTCACATAACAAGTAATACAACGAGACCGGGGAAACAAACATTTTTTTATGGAGACTTTTATTACACGTGTTAACACAAATATCATTAAATGAAGAGAATTTGTAAATCAAAAGAAGAAAATAATACTGTTTCCTATATCGGTACGAAATTCGGCTTACAAACCCTAAAGCAAGTTTTATTTGAAAAGATCTCAGAAATCATGAAATGAAATAGTCAAATTTTCCTTTAAATTATATTATTTAACGAGATAAGCAAACATTTTTTAACGGAGATCTTCATTACATGTGTTAAGTACTATTAAATGAAAAGAATTTGTAAATCGAAAGAAGAAATTAGTACGACTTCCTATATCGATACGAAACTCGGTTTACAAATTCTAGTCACTGATTATATCCAAAGTTAGAAGACTAGAAGCGTAAAACTAAAAAAGTTCGGATGTTTAATCCTTCATGTAACTGGAATACCAGAATGAAGAGATTAATCAAATACCTGGAGAAAATTCGTAACGATCGGGAGAGCTGGATAAATGAAAAGGTGTAAGTTACGCGAAAGGATTACGTGGGTATAATACGCGTGCACGCGTGTGCCCCGACATGTATACGCACCGTGAAGTACGCACGGCCGCGTATCCTCGGCTCTCGGTCCGTTTCACGGTACGCTTCCTCCCCTCCCGTTGCTTTCACCCCTACCTCGGCGTCCCTCTCTCCCGCGCCTACACCGCCGCCGCCCCCTACCGCCGTGCCGCCGGTTGCCCCCTCTTGTCTCCGCCTCCTCAGCTCTTGTCTGGCTCGACGGTCCCGAAGCCAGCAGACAATTTATGCCCAATTACACCCTAATTACCGTAATGGCACGACTCCGGTACAGATGGTGCGCGGAGTTAAGTAACTGTCACGGACCACGGGAACTACGGGCCGAGGCTGTTCGACGACGATCGACGCGACCGCGACGCGTTCTACTCCGTTCCATTCGCGCTCAGCGTAATAAGACCCGCGAGGAATGTAAACCGATTCGTAACTCGCGAAGAATCGCTCGGTTACCCAGGAAGGTGGAACAGTAACAGCCAGTACGGACGCTGTGATATTTCGGCCCATTCGTTAGTTTCACCGAATAATCAAAAGCGTTCACACGTTTTCGTATTTTAAAGATACTTGAGCAATACAAATTAATCGATATGTACAATGTGAAAATATGTAGACGCTGTAATTGGTTGTACGCCCTGGCAATAAGTTCGAGAATCTCGCAGGAAGCTGATCCCGCACCGCGTGCGAAACGCAATACGAGTCGCAATGCAAATCGACTGGCAATGCAAAAACTTAGCCATGAAGGATTAATCCTTTTCTTAATACCGATCATGAACCTATCGTTTCGCATGAATCATTTTAGTACCAACCGCGAACTACCGTTCACTACTCAACAAAGTTCAGGATTTCTGAACTCTGGTAATTTTATGATAAAATGTTTTAGAGCACTCTGCCTATAGTCGTTCACAGGATTTCTGAAGAGGAGTTAAATCATTTATAACGTTTTATACATTTATTTTAAGACAGTTCTATCGCGATGCGAATAGTAAAGACAGCATCCTAAGTGCAACGAAGTATCGTCGTTGGCACTAAAAGGGTTGGCAATCATTTCATACGCCCTGCACCTTCAATTCCTGCAATCTACAAATCACGAAATGGGTAGTCTTAAAAACATGGGCATAAACCTTGAATCTCAGTCGTAAACGTTTTCTAAGGAAATCGCTGATGCAAGAAGTTTCAAGAGTCTTTTATACGAGAAAGCAGATATTGTCTATAGAAGGAAGAATCACATTCGTCGCGTTCAATTCCAGCAATCTTCAAATCACAAAATAAACAATCCTAAGAACTTGGACATAAATCTTGAATCTCAGTTCTACACGTTTTCCAAGGAAATCGCAGATGCAAGAAGCTTCAATAGTCTTTTATACGAAAAACCAGATATTTTCTATAGAAGGAAGAATTACATTCCTCAGCAGATCATCACAAAACAGCAAATAATTAAACTCTACACCATACATTTAATCGTTCAATCGGAATTAAGCGAAATTAGTGAGCCTCGTGTTAAAAACGAGTTGCCGAGAGACTTTCCGCCTTATCGCTTTCTCAGCCGGCGATAAGGAACGCGCGATATCCCCATTATCGAATTCCTATTCGTCGATGGAAATGGCCCGTTGCACTCGGATTACGCAATAAATGATCCTACTTCGAAGAAACAGCCTAATCGACGAAAATGGAAAAGCAGGCAATCTATGTGGCATATGGAAAGCACATGTTTCACGAGCCTCACCTCTCAGAAGTTTGCCCACAGCACAGACCTCACTTAATATCATTATGAAACTGTGCTTTAACAACTGTTGGGATTAATTCTACAATAATCGCTAAGCTGCATTTTATGTATTACCTATTCGTCATTTATGGACTAATTTTACTTATAGGAAAAAAGAATCAGTGATGAGAAGAATCGAAATTCTATACTTAAATGTGAAAAGTATTATTAATAAATAATTTGTATATAATTTAGCTAATATTATAAATAATTCATAATTGATATTTAAAAATATTCATATATGGTACGATCAATTGAAAATTCCTAAATAAATAATTAACTCCTCACTACCTCGAAACAAGAACAAATCGACCTATAACAATTTCATAAGAAGTTATTGTTAAATAGCTACTATTATTTATAAATGTTAACTTATTATAACCGTTCACGCGTTCAATTTATCCACGGGGTAATTCGATTGTCGAACGCTGAAATATTATCAAATTTAACGAAAATCAGTGTCGAAACGAAGGCGAGGGGCTGTAACGGCAGCCCCTGGATATTCGCCCTTCGACACTCGTCGATATTTAATGAGACAATCAAGATAAGGGGACACCGTAGCGAACCGATGGAAAATTCACTTTGCCTCCCTCCCTTTTAGCTCCTATACCTAACCCGCGGAGGTTTTCTTTCGTCACGGAATTAATAGATCTCGCTCTCACTATAAATAGTTATTCCCACGTTTGAGCAGTTGCGGTAGCGAAATTTTTAAATAGAACAGAAGTGCGATGAACCGACAAAACAGGTGAGACGATCTATTATTAAGATTGCGTATATATCGAGAAATACTAAATATGAGATAAATATTTATTATACATACAAATATTTTATTAGTATTTATTATTATTTTCAAAAGACTGTCTAGGTATTCTGGTAACAGAAGGATATTTTAACACTACAAGACTAGACTCTTTATACTAAATGCGTTTCTTCATTCAAAGTCATTGTGACTGATTTGGTAGTTCTAATGTTAAATATTGTAAGAGTTTAATATACTTTTAATCACAAGGCGTTGGATATTAACATTTCGCCTGCAACCTCATGATGACCCGATATGTGGACAAAAGTCTCTTTTTTCGTTCCAGACGTGACTGGATCGAAACGTCAGAAAGGAAATTGACATCCTGACACGACAAATACTGCTAGCAGAGAAATTCAAAATACTACAGCTAAATACATTTCAAATATAAAACATATTTAAAGCTCGTAAAAAACAATTCGTGAATAATTAAATTGAAGATGATCTGGTAATGAAGTAGTGATTCCCGCGAACTGGCGCCTAGCGCGTTTAAAATCCTGGCGCGAGTTGCCCGTTCAAGGAAACAGAAAACCGTAAGAAGGAACCCCATGGGGGAGTAGTGGCAGTCGTTATCGAACCGCGTTATACGCCGAATTAAAGGGGTATGGTGAAATGCCATGGGGTCGCGGTTCAAGCCACGCCTCGTTCTTTGCTGCCTCTTTCCCCCTCTGTGGTTCAAAAAAAAAAAAAAACACGGATGTCCAAATGACTTGTCTTTGGTACCGCGAAGTCCCCCCGAATTTTTGCACCTGCAACTGTGGGCGCTTCATAAAAAAAATGAAGTCTTAAATGATATGAATTATGCTTCGACTGACGATATAAAAGGCGTAATTACAGTCCTTATGATGACTTATAATGACTTTCATTAAAATAGAATATTAAATTAGTATTATAAAGATGATAGCATGGGAATGTCATATGAAAAATCAGGATAGTGCCCAGTAGTATGTACAAACTCACTGGGGTCCGGCTTCGCTTTGTACACATACATAAAAAATGTAACACGTTCTCTCTATCTTTACTGTTCTCCACGCGTCGCTTCTATGTATTCTCTATGATCGCGTGCGAAATGGATCCGGAGTCCCTTGAGTCACTCGTACAAGTAGCACAGTATAAAAAATGATTACGTCCGTTTATGAAAGAACTGGGATACTTATTGCAATCTGTTTAGTCTGAAGCATTCTTCAGTTTACTGTACGAAAGGCCATATTCGAAACTGAAGTAAAGCATCTGAAAATACAGACTGAACATCGGAGGTACTATCAGAAACCATAGAAATTCATAAATATGGGTTGCATTCAAAAGGGAGACAGTTTTATGTTATGCTACATATACGAAAATTATATCCCATCCGTTGTCAATAAATCGCACGATGGCTCGAGGAAGGTGTTTCTATAATCTCGATGATCAAACGATCTTACCGTGCTGCTTAAAATAAGAATGCCTCATCATCGGCGCGACTGAATTCAAGGCTTGAAAATCACTGAATTAATTCGAACGGCTATTAATGCGGCACCGTGTAAGTACCGTGTACAGCAAGCTTATTAATAATGCCGATAAGCCGTGTAATGCGGTAATCGCACGGGCGTTGCGTGCAAACCATTGTCACACAGAATGAATTAATTCGTACGCCTGATTAAAGTCTACTTAATTGTATTTAAATCCTCATCGGCCTCGTTATCGATTCCACATTGCGTATAATTCAATCGCATCTATTAATTTCATAATTAAAATTTTTAATACGCGAATGAAATTTCGACCGTGTTATCGCCAACGTCGTAATCACTGACAAATATTTACCGTAGCAATTATACAACCAATTACAATTACAAGCAAACGTAAAAATGTCTCTCTCGGACCTTTTCGTATTTTTTTTTTAATAAGCACTGCGTCTTATGGTCCGCAATCGTGAGATAGAATCGATAATCACGAGGAAGCTCACGACTAAATACCATGGAGTCGTCATTAAGATGATTGAGATATAAATGCTCCCATTTGAGCGCCGTTCATTAAGGCGCGCGAGGCGCACCGGTAAAAGAAAGAAAACGAAGCAAACGGAAGAGCGAGGTGGAAAGAAAGAGAAGCTCGACGGTCGCTAAACGCAGTTTCGTTTTCTTATTAATCAGACCTCCGGTCTCGGCGGCGGCGAGAAGGCCTAAGATTGTAATTACATAATTATGCGTCGCGATACGATATAATGACACGCTGCGGAACACGTTCGGCCTCCTCGTTATTCGTCCGATATTCAAGATCTCGGTGGAGTGCACAAAGGCAAACAGACGCGGAGGAATGAATGATGGTAGGGAAGGGAAGAGATTATTAGCTTTCCGCCGTACGGCTGCATAACGTATCGCCGACTCTTTTGTCGACTTGGTCCTGATAAAAAAGATGCTTCTGTAGTTTTCCTGATGATCGCGCGCTGGCTCATCGCCAAAAATACTTGCCCGGGCTTGGTTCGCGCGTACGAGCGAGAATCAGTTCTCTGAATTTGGTAAATGCAGTAAATATGTTTCCTTATTGGGATTCTTAAGATTTTTATAATCCTGGAAATTGGGCTAGAAATTATTTCTCAGATTTTATGCAATATAGATGCATCAAATGAAATTTGTTCATCTTATCATTAAATATTCAAAAAGATTAGCGTAAGGATGATTGATTGGTTTAAAACAAAAGGACTTCGTCGATCATCGGGCATTGTAACGAAGTGATTACAGCTTTCGTCTCGTAACAAAACTGCGCGAATTTGCACGGTCTCACTCTTGTCTCCGAGCCAGGACTCGGCGCGATTAAAACAAGGCGACCTTCTTTTCTTTTTTCATCCACTCCCTTCCCCTCCCCGCGGTTAATATTAATTGGACAGCGCGTTTAACCAAGCGAGTAGTAGCACTCGGGTTGCAATGCGAGCGGCTGGCCCAATGGCTAATGGATAAAGCAGACGAGTTATGCTAATAAGCGTGCAAAGGTTCGCCAGAACGCATGCGCTCCGCTCATGAATATTCATCGCGCTATCTGATTACGTCACTGATTGCCGGTATTCGAAAGTGTTTGCTCGCCAAAGTCCAGGCCCCGGGTATCGTGATGACCGATCATCCTCTCTGTCTCGTAGGATCGTGAACATTTCTTCCGACTTATTAGGAACAGGAAATCACCCAAATTTCGCATGTGATTCGATCTATGAAAGAATGATTGACGATTTTATCTGTCGACTGTCATCTGTTTGGCCCGTTTCGCCTGTTTTCTCCCTGTCGACTTTCGTTTATTGAAAGGAAGAAAATATCCCATATTAATTTTTTTTTAATGAGCAACACTGATATAAACTTGAGTTCAAAATTTGTTCGCAAATATTTCGAAAATTATCCCGACAATTTTTCTAACCCAACTCGCAAGAGAATTCCCCTTGGTCCCATCAAACGTCCCAAACTAAAAGAGACGAACTCAGGATTTCAAAACTGCAGAAAATCGAAGCTTAATGGACGGAGAAAAAGTGTTGGCAGTCAGCGGGGGAGAAAATCAGGAAGACAACGAAAACCGTGGCCCCGACGGATAAATGATCGTCTCTTCGTTGGTAGGGTGCGAAAATAGAAAATCCGATTGGCCGGTGCGAAAGAGAGCGGAACAAAAGCTTCATGCAGAATTCAGTGTCGGCCGCTCCTCTATAATCGGAGCCAGAGTATCGATCGGTAACCAGCAGATACACCTGCTCGTGTGCAAGGCTTTCCCTGTGCTCGCGGCTTGTCTTCTCTCTCTCTCTCTCTCTCTCTCTTTCTGACTCTCTCCCCTTGGATCTCTCTCTTCATCCCTTTTATCCTCTGTCTTTCTCCCCCTTGTCGAGTTACGCGTCTCGCTGTCTCTCTTGCCCTTTGTGCTCGCCGTCTCCCTCGCTCCCTTTCAGGAATTTCACCCAGGGCTACCTTGTTAATCTCGGCCGCCGACATCGCCATCTTTACGGCGCCAGCCGGTGAGATCGTGGTCGATAGCAGGAAGCCCGCGATAATGCGCTATCATCGCGACACCTCGTACATCACCGAGGATCATGGTTGACGGATTTTTGGTTACTAATTTCTACGATTCGACGAGAGGAATTCGATATTATCCTTTGAAAGAACAGTTGCAAACAAGGATTAAGTTTCCCTGTTTGCCAGAGCAATATAAACCGAACTTCATTTTCCATCCAAAATACGTGATTAGAGATTAGTCATTGAAGGTGAAACGATGTCGAATTAACAACCGCGAGGAATGTTAAAAGCATTCTGTTCTGTTTTAAATATTGTCTCCCCCACAATCGTTAATGACGAAGTATACGTTCCGATCTTCAATAACTATCATGCAGAAATCTCCACAATCTCGAGATACCCTCGATTTATAATTCGAGTTACCGAGATTCGACGACGCTTCAAAGAGGATCATTGAGATACCGAAGATCTGTCCTAGACAAGCGTTGAATCGAGGCGGCGATCGTTGTGAATCGGTGTTCGTGGCGGAAAACGGGTGATCAACATTACGAGCTCGTACCAGAATACTTTATTATTCTCGGAGGCGGTGCGTGCCGTGCGGGAACGTACCGTTCCCGAATTAGAGTCCGTTTTTTCCTCCAACTCTCGGCGAGACGCCGGGGAACCCGTTGCCGCACCTGGAGACGTTCCAAAAGACATTCGTTTGCGCGCCAAAATCGCCTGACGCTGTCAACGCCAAGGTGAAATGAAAAAAGCGCAGCCACCGCTCGAAACTCGTCTTTTATTTCCCGCTTCACTAACGAACGCCCGAAACGCGTCCGCGCCGTAAAATTGGGAGCAGGAATCTGCTCGTACGTTTCTCTCTTGTCGCAATTTTTCAATTCAGATCAACAGACTATGCAAATCATTTTAATGATCTATGATTTGTCTGTCTAAACGGATTTCGCGTTGCGGAGAAGATAAATCGTACCGTCTTAGAAATCAGAATAATGAGGACAAATCGCACGAGGATTGCGAATCTCGCGAATGCTTTGTCCCGTATTCAGGAAAGCAAGACGATGACTCGAGCAAGATAGAACAAAGCCTGGGGGACATGTTTTCCCGCGAATCGTATCTCGAGATCTAACGACGATTTCGAGCAGCCGCGGTGACAATAGGCGATCGGTATGCACGCGCTTTGGAAGAAACGATGATTTCACTGCAATACCATTTCGGTCGCGTCGCCGCGTTTCTGACTCAATCGATGTAGAATTAACCGAGGTGCGCCGCAAAGAAACCAACAGGCAATGTCCATTTGTGACGTGCCGCGCTTCTCGATGTGAAACGTTGATGGATTTCGTCTACTCTTTCTCGTTTGCTGGGAAACTGTTTTATCGTGATTGCGATCGTGTCAATTTCGACCTCGCGAATAATGTAATCAATTCTCCTTACAATTTGTTCTTGGAGAAATATATAGAACGTATACCAGAATCCTCATTC